AAGTAAAGAGATAGTAAGTAATCAGAAAACTTCCCACAAAGAAAAGCCCAGGACCAAATGGCTTCACTGATGAATTCTAGCAAATATTTAAAGAATTAACACCAGTATTTTACAAACTCTTATGAAAAATTGAAGGACAAACATATACCAACTTAGTCTATGAGGCCAGTATTGCCTGTTACCAAAGCCGAAGACGTCACAAGAAAATACAGCATTATCTTTTATGGGTATAGATGCAAAAATCCTCAACAGAGAAAGTAGAAAACTGAATCCAGCAACTTACTAAAAGGATTATACACAATGACCAAGCGGAATTTATCCTGGGAATGCAAGGTTGATTCAACATCCAGCCAATTTTGTTAGTCCAACTAAAATCAATCAATGTAATAGATTAAGTAGAATAAAATACATCTTCTCAAGATGAGGAAAACGTTTGACAATATCCAACACATTTTCATGATAAAACCCTCAAAGCAGAAATAGAAGAGCGTCTATGGCAAACCTGTAGTTAACATCTTAATGATAAAAGACTGACAGAGAAGGACAGATACACATTTTCACTCATATGTAGATCTTGAGAAGTTTAACAGAAGACCATGGGGGAAAGGAAGGGAGAAAAAATAGTTACAAACAGAAAGGGAGGGAGGCAAACCACAAGAGACTCTTAAATACAGAGAAGAAACAGGGTGGATTGGGGCTTGGGGGAGAAGGGAAAATGGGTGATGAGCATTGAGGAGGGCACTTGTTGGGGTGAGCACTGGGTGTTGTATGTAAGCCAATTTGACAATAAATTACATTCATTAAAAAAAGAAAGACTGAAACTTTTTTGATAACAGGATAAGGATGTCCACTCTCACCACTTATATTTAGTATTGTATTAGAGGTTCTACACAGGGCAATTAGGCAAGAAAAAAAGAAGAAAAATTAATTTGGATTGGAAAAGAAGTAAAATTATTTTAAAATTTGCAAATGACATGATATTCTACATGGAAATTTATATCCATAAACTATAACTAATAGAGCTAATAAACAAGTTCAGTAAGTTACAAAAGTATACAAAAAAAGTATACAAAAATCCATCACGTTATACAATGGCAGTGAATAATCCAAAAATGAAATTAATAAACTCTATTTGCATACTGTAATAGTGTTGTGACAAATGGTAGCTACATTTGTTGTAAGCATAGTATAATGTGTAGACTTGTCAGATCACTATGTTGTAAACCTGAAACTCATGTAACACTGTGTGTCAACTATGTACTTCAATAAAAATAAATATTTTTCATTTGCAATAACGTCAAAAGATACTTAGGAGTAATTGTAACAAAAGAAGTGCAAGACCTGTACACTGAAAGCTACAAAACATTGTTGAAAGAAATTTCTAAATAAATGGAAGAATTCTATGATGATGGATTGGAAGACTTACTGTAAAGATCGCAGCATCCCCCAGAATGATCTGTAGAGATTCAGTGCAATCCCAGCCAAAATCCCAGCTGGATTTCTTGCAGAAATTGAGAAGCTGATCTTAAAATTTATATGGAAATTGAAAGAAATCCAGAATACTCACAAAAATTTTGAAAAAGAAGAACAAAATTGGAGAACTGACCATTCTCGATTTCAAACTTATTGCAGTGCTACAATAATTGAGACTTGTGTTGTACTGGCATAATATAGACATGTAGGACAGGGGGTAGAATTGAAAGTCCAGAAACTAACCTCCATGTTTACAGTGAGCTTATTAGTGCCAAGACAGAGGGAGAGGAAGATGGTGGTGGAGTAGGAGGACCCTAGGCTCCTCATGTCCCATGAACACAGCTAGATAACTACCAAATCATCCTATATACCCCAGAAAGACCCTACACCTAAAGGGAGAGAAGAGGGTACATCATAGAAGGTATACTGTGCTCCATGCTGTTTCCTGACCATGTCAGGTAAGCTCTTGCTGCAGAAACTTTGCCCTTGCATTTCTCTCTGCTAGACACTTCCCTTCCAGATACACACACAGCTCATTCCCTGACCTGTGAAGAATCTTTGTTCAAGTAATGTTTTCTCAGGTGCTCAAAAATCACCCCATTTAAAATTTAGCACCCTCTGCCAATATTCCCTCTTCTGTTTCCCTTTTTGTTTTTCTTCCCTAGCACTTAGCATCTTTTCATATATCATATGATTTTCTTACCTCCATGGACTGAATTGTGCCTCCTTCAAATTCATATGTTGAAGCCCTTATCCCCTACATAATGCTATTTGGAGATGAGGCCTATGGAATGTAATTAGGTTTAGATGAGGTCCTGTGGGCAGGGCCCTCATGATGGGATTAGCGCCCTTATAAGAACAGACATCAGAGGACTTGATTCTTTCTCTCCTTTACTTCTCCCTCTTTCCACCCCCACCCATGTGAGGACACAGTGAGATGGCTGACCTCTGTAAGCCAAGAGGAGAGCCTTCACCAGGGAACTAAATCAGTTTGCACCTCTATCTGTTCTTCCTAGCCTCAAGAACTGTGAGAAATAAATCCCTGTTGTTTAAGCCACCACGCCCTCCTAAAAAGTGCTAAGACAATCCAATGGGGGAAAAAATAGTCTTTAACAGATGGTGCTAGGATAACTGCATATCCATATAAAAGAATGAAACTAGTCCTCTACCCCCACACCATATACAAAAGGTAACTCAAGATGGGTGAAAGACTAACAAGGTGTAAGTCTTCTTAGACTCCTTGGACTAGGCAATGGTTTCTTGCTTTTTTTTTTTTTTTTAAATGACTATTTTGAGAGGGAGAGAGCATGAGCAGGGGAAGGGCAAAGAGAGAGGGAGAGAGAATCCCAAGCAGGCTCTGTGCTATCAGAGCAGAGCCCAATACAGGGCTCACTAACTGAGAGATCATGACCTGAGTCGAAACCGAGAGTCAGACGCTCAACCTACTAAGCCACCCAGTTGCCCCTAGGAAATGATTTCTTTCTTTCTTTTTCTTTTTTTAATGTTTATTTTATTTTTGAGAAAGAGTATGAGTGGGGGAGGGGCAGAGAGAGAAGGAGACATGGAATCTGAAGCAGGCTCCAGGCTCTGAGCTGTTAGCACAGATCCCAATGTGGGGCTCAAACTCAAGAACCTCGAGATCATGACCTGAGCCGAAGTTGGACACTTAACCGCCTGAGTCATCCAAGCACCCTGGTAGTCAATGGTTTCTTAAATATGACATCAATAGCACAAACAACTTTAAAAATTAGATAAATTGGGCTTTGTCAAACTTTTGTTTAACTTTGTTAAAACTTTTGTTCTTCAAAGAACAATGCTAAAAAATAGAACGCACACATGTGAGAAAATGTTTGCAAATCAAATGTCTAAGGGTGTAGTATCCAGAATATATAAAGAACTCTTTTTTTTTTTTTTCAACGTTTATTTATTTTTGGGACAGAGAGAGACAGAGCATGAACGGGCGAGGGGCAGAGAGAGGGAGACACAGAAACGGAAACAGGCTCCAGGCTCTGAGCCATCAGCCCAGAGCCTGACGCGGGGCTCGAACCCACGGACCGCGAGATCGTGACCTGGCTGAAGTCGGACGCTTAACCGACTGCGCCACCCAGGCGCCCCTATAAAGAACTCTTATAATTCAACAATGAAAAGACAAATAATGCGATTTAAAAATGGACCAATACTTTTAGTAGACATTTCTCCAAAAGAGATACACAAGCAGCCAGTATGCACATGAAAATATGTTCAACATCACTAGTTACTAGGGAAATGCAAATCAAAACCACAGTGAAATGCCACTTCACACTTCCTAGAGTACATTTAATGAAGAATATGGATAATAACAAGTGCTGGTGAGGATATGGAGAAATTGGAAATCTCACACAATGCTGGCAGGAATGTAAAATTGTGCAACTGCTTCAGACAAAAGTGTTCCTCAAAAAGTTAACATTGAATTACTGTACAGCCCAGCAATTCCACTTCTGGTTGGATTCATATGAAAACTTGTACCCAAATGTTCATAGCAGCATTATTCATAATAGTCAAAAGGTGAAAACAACCCAGATGCACATTTACTTATGAATGGATAAATGCAATGGAATGTTATTCAGCTAAAAAGAGGAATAAAGTACTGATACATGTGATAACACGTAGCCTTGAAAAAACATCATGTTAACTGAAAGAATCATGTTGTATGTTGCATGATTCCGGTTATATGAAAATTTCAAAATAGGCAAATTATAGAGATAGAAAGTATATTAGTGGTTTCCAGGGAATAGGGGGAATAATTGGATAAAGAGAGTGACTGATTGACACTGGGTTTCTTTTGGGTGAGATAAAAATGTGTGATAGATAGTGGTGTAGGTTGCACAACTTTGTAAATGTACTAAAAGTCACTGAATTACACACTTCAAATTTTTTTAAATAATTTTTAAAATTAAAAAATATTTTAGCAAACCAAATTCAACAATCTGTAAAAAGAATATACACCATAACAACATGTGGTTATCTTAGGAATGAAAGTCTGGGTCTGTATTTGAAATTTTGCCTGTGTGATCTACCATGTTAACAGTTTAAAGGAGAAAAACTACATGATCAAATCAATTGGTTCTTCCCAAGTTTGTTGTTTGTTTTACAAATTAAACATTCATTCATGATAAAAACTCATTAAACTAGAACAAAGTTTATCTACATAAATTCTACAACTAAAATGACATTGAAGGTAAAAAAAAATAATTTGTTTAGCTAAGTAAGGGTTTGTAAATATTTTCTATAAATTTTTGGCTTTCAAAATAGAATGCATATAAACATTTTTTGATGTAAGTTATCAAGAGTTGACAAAAGTAGGAGATTTTTAATATACCTACTTTGGTACATTGTATTGAGTTGTTTCTATAATCTTGCTTATAATAAGGCTTAGAGGAATATACTACTGACATCACTGATTTTTCTCAATCTTCTATCTCACAAGAAGACTGGCTTTTATTTTCAAAGTTATTTCTGTTTGATTTTTCTCCCTATTTTTTTTATAGGTGTATTCGACACAAAAATGATTGGGGAGCTCTTATTCTTGTGGATAATCGCTTTAGTAGTAACCCTGCACAGTATATATCTGGTAAGATTCTTAGCTGGGTTTAGAGTAAGAGTTAATAACAGTCATTGGTATTTAGTAACTACTGGTTGTTGTTCTTTTTTAATGTTTATTTATTTTTGAGAGAGAGAGAGAGAGAGCACACGAGCCAGGGAGGGGCAGAGAGAGAGAGACTGAGACACAGAATCTGAAGCAGGCTCCGAGCTGTCAGTATAGAGCCCAATGCAGGGCTCGAACTCACGAACTTATGAGATCATGACCTGAAACGAAGTCAGACACTCAACCAACTGAACCACCCAGGCACCCCTAATAACTGCTGGTTTTAAAGAAAAAATTTGGACAGGGGCACCTGGGTGTCTCAGTTGGTTAAGCATCCGACTTTGGCTCCAGTCATGATCTTGCGGTACTTGAGTTCAAGCCTGCATCGGGCTCTGCACTGGGATTGGAATTCTTTCACCCTCTGTTTCTCTGAACCCTTCCCACTTGCACACTCTCTCTCTTTCTCGATCTCAAAATAATCGAATAGATTATCTTTTTATTAAAAGATTTTTTATTTTTTTTACTATTTTTTAAATATGAAATTTATTGTCAAATTGGTTTCCATACAACACCCAGTGCTCATCCCAACAGGTGCCCTCCTCAATGCCCATCACCCACTTTTCCCTTCCCCCCATCAACCCTCAGTTTATTCTCCCTTTTTTTTTTTTTTAATTTTTTTTTTCAACGTTTATTTTATTTTTGGGACAGAGAGAGACAGAGCATGAACGGGGGAGGGGCAGAGAGAGGGAGACACAGAATCGGAAACAGGCTCCAGGCTCTGAGCCATCAGCCCAGAGCCTGACGCGGGGCTCGAACTCACGGACCGCGAGATCGTGACCTGGCTGAAGTCGGACGCTTAACCGACTGCGCCACCCAGGCGCCCCCCTCTCCCTTTTCTTATTGAGAAGCCTGCTAGAGGTTTATCAGTTTTGTTTATTTTTTCAGAAAATCAACTCTTGGTTTCATTGACCTGCTCTGCTGTTTTTTTAGATTCTATATTGTTTATTTCTGTTATGATCTTTATTATTTCTTTTCTGCTAGGTTTGGGGTGTCTTTGCTGTTCTGCTTCTGTTTCCTTTAGGTGTGCTGTTAGATTTTGTATTTGGGATTTTTCTTGTTTCTTGAGATAGGCCTGGATTGCAATGTATTTTCCTCTCAGGACTGCCTTCGCTGCATCCCAAAGCGTTTGAATTAAAAATTGAATAAATTATTTTTTATTTATTTTTTTTAATTTTTTAATGTTTATTTTTAGGAGAGAGACAGTGTGCAAGCGGGAAAGGGTCAGAGAGAGAGGGAGACACAGAATCGGAAGCAGGCTCCAGCCTCTGAGCTGTCAGCACAGAGCCTGACGCAGGGCTAGAACTCATGAGCCGTGAGATCATGACCTGAACTGAAGTCAGACACCTAACCCACTGAGCCACCCAGGTGCCCCAAAATAATTGAATAAATTTTTTAAAAATTGGGGAGGGACAGATTTTTAATAGATCAAATATGGAAAAATTCATATTGACAGGAAATCTAGCCTTTTAATGCTTGTGTGTTTACAAAAAAAGCTTTATAGATGAGAATCTAGTTACTAACTAACATAGTATTAATCAGTTAGTATCCTTCAATTTTGTAGAATGTTGGATTTAATTCAGTAACAGTAATTATTTATTTATCATTATCAGGGAAAAGGCTATTCACAAATGAATTTTCCAAAAAATAAGTGTTTACATGTAAGCACATCTCCTTTGGCTGCTTAGGATTCTTCATTCTTTCATTCTTGATTATATTGAAGATTGTTGATTGCTTTTTGTTTGTTTAGAAATGCTTCAGCTGTTACAGAGTTCATGTTAGAGCTAGTATTTTCTAAAAGGAAAAAAGCTCCACTGTAGGCCTCAAGATATAGTGAATGGCCATTTTTCCCCACTCAGATGAACAAATATTATGTGCCTATAGTATTTAGTTTGGAAATACTTGCATCTTTATTATCTTCAAAGCTAAAAAGTTCATACGACGATGATAAAAAGAGATGCAAAATTTTAAATTTGTTTCAGATAAACTACCTATGGGTATGGACTCTACTTTTTCTATTTCAGAGCCTAGTATTTGGTTTGGCATTAAAATGTATACACCTGGATTAAAGCAGCAAGTGCTGCTTTATTAGTCTTTTCTGCTCTTTCCATGTAAAGCAACCCATTGCACTTAGGGCCAGACATAACTAAAAGCAAAATATTAAGTGCTTATGTTTAGTCAGCAGGTGGAGCTCAGATTCTTTGAGTTTTCAAAAGCAAACTGACATTTTGCACTGAAAAGGCTTTCTTTGATTACAAAAAGTTCCACACGTCAAAGAGGCGAGTATAATACTAAAATTTTTCAGTTTTAGAAAACTTTGATGTTTAATCAGTATAATTATTTTTCCCAACCAAACAAAATAAAGAACTTTAAGGGAAATCCTTCTTTAAAATATTCTTCTATGGGCACCTGGCTGGTTCAGGGTTGATCTTGGGGTTATAAGTTCAAGCTCCACATTGGATGTAGAGATTATTTTAAAATAAAATCTTTAAAAAGTTAAAAAATTAAATGGTCTTCTTGTCAAATGTTTTTCTTAACTTCAGTTAAAAAATGCAAAATCTGAAAAGTTTTTCTTATTTGAACATCTAGTACTTCTTACCTTATAGTTCAGACTTGTTGAATTTTTAAAAGATTTATTTATTTAAAAAAATGTTTTTTGTGGTTTGACTCCCTCTCAGTTTGTAACTTTTTTTTTTCTTCTCTTCCTGCATGGAAAGAGATGGAAACTTAACTTCTGTTAAGTTTCTCAAATTCCTCATATGAGTGAAAACATACGATATCTGTCTTTCTCTGACTGACTTATTTCACTTAGCATAATACCCTCCAGTTCCATCCACGTTGTTGCAAATGGCAAGATTTCGTTCTTTGTCCTTGCCGAGTAGCATTCCAAGCTAACTTGAAAATAAATTATATATCTTAAAAAAATTTTTTTAATTTTATTTTAGAGAGAGGGCGTAAGTGGGGAAGAGGGGCAGAGGGTGAGACAGAGAATCTCAAGCTGGCCCCATGCTCAGCACAGAGCCCAGTGCAGGGTTTGATCTCACGACAGTGAGATCATGACCTGAGCCAAAATCAAAATCAAGAGTCAGATGCTTAACCGACTGAGCCACCTACATGCCCCTAAAGATTTGATTTGATTTGATTTGATTTGATTTGATTTGAGAGAGAGACAGAGCACACACTAGTAGGAGGACAGAGAGAAGGAGACAGGATCCGAGCAGGTTCTGCACTGATAGCAGAGAGCCCAATGTAGGGCTCACACTCAAGAACCATGAGACAACAACCTGAGCCTAGCTCTTGACAACTGAGCCACCCAGGTGCCCCTAAAGATTTTATTTTTTAAGTAGGTCACTATACCCAATGTGGGGCTCGAACTTAAACACCAAGATCAAGAATCACATGTTCCGCCTACTGAGCCAGCTAGGCACTGCCAACAGATTTTTTAAATTAAGAATTTTACATTATTTCTGTATGGTTTTTATTTATTTTCTCTGAGACTCATAAAAGTGTGAAATCTTCCTATCTAGATAATACTAGCGCAACAATGTACAAATTCCTTTTGATGGCTAATTTTTATTTGAAGTGAATTTGCATTAACTACAGAACTCAATTCATTTTGCATTAAATATAGAAAAACTCCGATAAAAACAAAAACTAAAGGAATGTATGTAAATGATTGTATAGGAGTTCAAGTTGTTTGAAGCCCTGCCTTATTTTTCTTTTAACTTAAAATACCATAGTGACTTTTTAAATTACTCCAGAAGATGATGATAGTAACACCAGCAGAGAATATTTATTTTCTAAAAGTGAATATCTGATTTTGAATTTCATTCTGAAATAAGTCATACTACAAAACACGTATACTTTTAATATGGTTCAAGGTTTTACAGTTTCACATGTCATAGGTCAAATCATGTCCCTTACAACTTAATTGTTTATATATTAAAAAATATATCATAAATATTCAAATAGGACATGATTTGTCCATGGTAACATTGTTATTCCTTTCATTTCCAGGATAGTTTAAGACATATTTGGAATTGGGGGAGAAGAGGAACAAAAAAACCTATGAGACTGGAATCTTGCATTTATTTTTTGTGAAGGGAATCAAAGTTAGAAAGTTGGAATGGAAGATCGTGTTGTTTACAACTTCTAGTTTCTCTAAAATTAATACGTAGGCAATATTTGTGGGGAATTATGATGAAATTAGATTTGCCTTATTTCCCCAGTTATTCTAAACTGACAAATAATACATTTCTCCCATTCCACTCTACTCCCACTCCCTCTTCCCTCCCTTCAGTTGACAATCACTGCATGTAAAGAAAAATGGTACTGATACCTGAGCAATACTAAGCATAGTGTACATGTGAAGATTTTTAGGCAGGAAAAATATTGAGAATCTTTTTTTTTTTTCCTGCTTAAATCCAAGTTAGTTAACATATAGTGTAATAATGGGTTCAGAAGTAGAATTAAGCGATTCTTCACTTACATTTAACACCCAGTGCTCATGCCAACAAGTGCTGTCCTTAGTACCCATCACCCATTTAGCCCAGCCCCCTACCCACCTCCCCTCCAGCAACCCTTAGTTCTCTGAATTTAGAGTCTCTTAGGGGTGCGTGGGTGGCTCAGTAGGTTAAGCATTCAACTCTTGATTTCGGCTCAGGTCATGATCTCATGGGTCATGGGTTCAAACCCCACATAGGCTCTGCACTGACAGTGTGGAGCCTGCTTGGGGTTCTGTCTCCTCTCTCTGCCCCTCTCCTGCTCGCTCGCTCTCTCTCTCTCTCTCTCTCTCTCTCAACGTAAATACATAAACTTAAAAAACAACAACAACAAAAAAGAACCTCTTATGGTTTGCCTCCCTCTTTTTATCTTCTTTTTCTTTCCCTTCCCCTATGTTCATCTTTTTTTCTTAAATTCCACATACGAGTGAAATCATATGGTATTTGTCTTTCTCTGACTGACTTCTCTTAACATAATACATTCTAATTCCATCCACCTGTTTCACATGGCAAGATTTCATTCTTTTTGATCGCCATTGTATATATATACCACATCTTCTTTATCCATTCATCATTAGTCAATGGACATTTGGGCTCTTTCCATAATTTGGCTCTTGTTGATAGTGCTGCTATAAACATTGGGGGGAGGGGGCATGTGCTCCTTCAAATCAGCATTTTTGTATCCTTTGTATAAATACCTAGTAGTGAAATTGCTGGGTGGTAAGGTAGCTCTATTTTTAATTTTTGGAGGAACCTCCATACTTTTTTCCAGAGTGGCTGCACCAGTATGCATTCTCACCAACAGTACAAAAAGGATTCCCCTTTCTCCACATTCTAACCAACATCTGTTGGTTCCTGAGTTTTTAATTTTCGCCATCCTGACAGGTGTGAGGTGGTATCTCATCATGGTTTTGATTTGTATTTCCCTCATGATGTGTGATGTTGAGCATCTATTTATGTGTCTGCTAGCCATCTGGATGTCTTCTTTGGAAAAGTATCTGTTCATTTTGCCCATTTCTTCACTGACTTATTTGTTTTTTGGGTGTTGAGTTTGATATGTTCTTTATAGGTAGACTTTGGATACTAACCCTTCATCCGATTTGTTATTTGCAAATATCTTCTCCCATTCCATCGGTTGCCTTTTAGTTTTGTTGATTGTTTCCTTTGCTGTGCAGAAGCTTTTTATCTTGATGAGGTCCCAATAGTTCGTGTTTCCCTTGCCTCCAGAGACATGTCTAGTAAGAAATTGCTGCAGCCGAAGTCAAAGAAGTTGTTGCCTGTTTTCTCCCCTAGGATTTTAATGGTTTCTTGTCTTACATTTAGGTCTTTCATCTATTTTGAGCTTATTTTGAAAATTTTTGTAATGTTTATTTATTTTTGAGACAGAGAGAGAGCACAAGTGGGGAAGGGACAGAGACAGAGGGAGACACAGAATCCAAAACAAGCTCCAGGCTCCGAGCTGTCAGCACAGAGCCCGACGGGCTCAGACTCACAGACTGTGAGATCATGACCTGGACTGAAGTCAGACGCTCTGCTGACTGAGCCACCCAGGTGCCCCCATTTTGAGTTTATTTTTGAGCATGGTATAAAAAGTGGTCCAGGTTCATTCTCCCACATGTCACTGCCCAGTTTTCTGAGCACCATTTGCTGAAGAGACTGTCTTTTTTCCATTGAATATTCTTTCCTCCTTTGTCAAAGATTAGTTGGCCATACATTTGTGGGTCCTTTTCTGGTTCTCTGTTCTGTTCCATCGATCTGTATGTCTGTTTTTGTCCAGTACCATACTGTCTTGATGATTACAGCTTTTTAATCCAGAATTATGATGCCTCCAGATTTGGTTTTCTTTTTCAACATGGCTTTGGCTATTCAGTCTTTTCTGGCTCCATACAAATTTTAGGATTGTTTGTTCTAGCTCTGTGAAGAATGCTGGTGTTATTTTGATAAGGATTGCATTGAATGCATAGATTGCTTTGGATAGTATAGATATTTTAACAATATTTGTTCAGAAGAACAATTAAGAGCTTAATCCATTAGCATGGGATGTTTTCCCATTTTTTTGTGTCTTTTTCAATTTCTTTCATAAACTTTCTATAGTTTTTTCTATAGTTTTTAGTGTAGAGAATCATTCTATATACCCTAAATTCATATAGATTACTTCATTAGAAAAATTATCTAAGGCTTTTCTTAATACATAATGTCTTAAGAAACTAAATAACCAAAGTTTCTTCCCTGGGTTTACTTTTTCCTTAGGACTTTCTAAATGGATACGGCAGCAGGTTCAGTACCATTCAACCTTTGAAAGTGCAATGGAGTCCTTGGCTGAATTTTCCAAAAAGCACCAGAAAGTCATTGATGTATCCAAAGAGGACAGAAAGTTTATACAGGACAGTGGATCTACACTTGAAGTGGCCGGTTTGAAGGACAATACCTTAACTTACTTATCAGAAGCAGCAAGCCATCTACCACCAGAAAATCCTAGGGAAGGTGAAGCAAAAATGTGTGTCCAAGAACTACACTGTCCTAAAATAACCACAAGTCTATCTCTACCAGGAGACATCATCTCCCGAAAGGACCAAGGTTTGAAAAGTTTTGCCTATTTACATTTGATAGAGAATTCTTTCATTATATCAAGTGAAATAATATATATTTTGCTATAGATTAATTTCCTTAAATATGTTGGCTTGTAATAGAAGGCATTATCATAAAGTAATGAAATAGTATGGTGTATTGGAATGAGAACAAACTTTTGTCAAGAGACCTGAGCATATTTTCTGGTTTTCTACTCAAAACTTTGTCATTACCTAACTTTGTGACCATGAGCAAGTCACGTAACTTTTTTGAGTCTTCATAGAAAAAGGAATCTCTGGGACACCAGGGTGGCTGAGCTGGGTAAGCATTCGACTCTTGATTTCAGCTCAGGTCATGATCTCAGGGTCGCAGGATCAAGCCCCATGTCTGGCTCTGCACTGTCAGCTGAGCCTGCTTGGGATTCTCTCCCCCTCTCTGTCCCTCCTTCTCTCTCTCTCTCTCTCTCTCCCTCTCTCCCTCTCTCCCTCTCTCCCTCTCTCCCTCTCTCCCTCTCCCTCTCCCTCTCCCTCTCCCCCTCTCTCCCTCTCCCTCTCCCTCTCCCTCACCCTCTCTCAAATTAACTAAATAAACTTTCAAAAAAAAAAAAACAAGAAAAAAGGAATCTCTTCATAGCTATCCCTTAGCTTGGAATGCAAAGATCTAATAAGATGATAAATATCACAGCATGGTAATACTGTACAAATGGCAGATGTTTTCCTAAAGGCTATATTAAAAATTGGTCTAATGTATAGATAACTTCTCTTACATGAATTTATTAGTTTAGGGAAGTGAGAGTCATTTATTCTGAATAATAAAAAATAACATTTTAAAATATATTAGAATATAACAGTCTGTGTCAGGGATTGGCAAACTATGGCTTATGGACCAATTTGGCCATCTGTTTTTGTATATCATGTTTAATGGTACAGAGTCACATCCATTCAGTTATGTGTGGTACACAACAGCAGAGTTTAGTCATAGTGTATTTTGCACTAGACCAGCACAATTGAGTACTTACATACCTTGGAGATGTTGCAGGTTTGGTTCCAGACCACCACAATAAAGCAAGTATCACAATAAAACAATTCAGATGAATTTTTTGGTTTTGTAGTGCATATAAAAGTTATGTTTACATTATACTAATACTATAGTCTCTTAAGTGTGTAATAACATTATGTCCTAAAAATAATGTATATACCTTAATTAAAAAAACTTTATGGCTAAAAAATGCTAACCATCAACTGAGCTTTCAACAAGCCATAGTCTTTTTACTGGTGGAGGGTCGTGCTTCAGTGTCTATGGCTGCTAACTGATCAGGGTGCTGGTTGCTGAAGGCTGGGGTGGATGCAGCAATTTTTAAAATAAGACCATTATGAAGTTTGCCACATCAATTGACTCTTCTTTTACAAATGACTTCTCTATAGCATACGATGCTTTTTGATAGTATTTTACCCAAATTAGAACTTCTTTCAAAATTGGAGTCAGTCCTCTCAAACTTTGCTGCTACTTTATTAAGTTTATATAATATCTTAAATTCTTTGTAGTCATTTCAACAATTTTCACAGCATCTTGACTAGGAGTAGATTTCATCTCAAGAAACCACTTTCTTTGCTGATACATAGGAAGTAGTTCCTCTTTCATTGAAGTTTTCTTATGAGATGGCAACAATTCAATCACATTTTCAGGCTTTACTTTTAATTCTAGTGCTCTCGCTATTTCCACCACATCTCCACTAAAGTCTTGAATTCCTCAAAGTCATCCATGAGGATTGGAATCAACTCCTCTCAAATTCCTATTAATGTTGATATTTTAACTTCTTCCCATGAATCATGAATTTTTTTGATAGTTTAATTTTTATTACATATTTGAACATGAACAAAAACACATGAGAAGATTCACCCTCAAATGTAAATATTCTATGTGTATTTGGCCCCAATAATAAACCAGTTATGTGAAAAACCAGAGACTTAGGGTTTGGAAAAATAAAGATTAGAACAACATTTAAAAATTATTACATAGTACATACATTCTTGGAATTTATTTATTAAGTATCAGAATTTCCACCTGGTTTTCCATATCTACACTTATTTCTACCTGTATACCCACATTCTAACTCTTATCTCCACCCACAGGCAACAACTATAGCTCTAATCTGCACCGAGTTCAGTCATCTCTCTGGATCTTAACAATGTTTCCATCATTTGGTCTGACTTCATCCTTGCTATTTAGCAAATAGCAAAGGCCTATCAGAGACGGACTTGGCTGACACACTCCCATCTATTTCAAGCCACAGAATCCCAGTAGGACAAAAGATTTTCCCTCCTCTAGGCCCAATTTCTAGTTGTCTGTCGTGACAGTAATGATTTCATAAACTTTCTTTCAAGGTTGGTCCTGACAGCATCTTACCATAGCTCACCTGATCCAGTGTTTAGTCTTCTCTGACTGTAGATTCATATTGAGCACTACCAATGAGGTCGTAGCTCATTACCCTAGGTTTCTGAGGTCTAAATTTCATAGGATAAAGGACTATTTGATAAAAAGGAAAAACACTATAATATTAATAAAAGAAGCAATCATTGCTTCATAGGATCAAAGCTACCCTCGGATCTGGAGGCTGAATGGAGCTTGAATGTTTTATTTGATACTATGTGACTCAGAAATACATAGCTTTCTTTCTTTAATGATAGTGCCACAGAAGTGCCCCTCTCAGTGTCCTGATTAGTACTCTAAGTGTGGTAATATGCTCATTTATTTCAATATTGACCTAATTTTTTTCAACTTAGCCTATGTTTGAGTTTAGATCTGTTCTTGCCTTTGCAGAAATGGGAGTTTCTTTTAGCCAAAGAGAGCATTAAGAAACTTGGGGGGCAGGGGGGATCAACAGAAAAATTATTCATTTTCTGTATTCTTAAAAAAAAATTCTCCCCTGAGTTTACCTGTGAAAAGCCAATGAATAGCAATTCTTCATAAAACTGACTGAATTAAGAGATGAGAATGGACTTATAAATATAAGAGAGAGTCAACCTCAAATTAATAATAATAATAATAATAATAATAGATTCAACCCCATTCAACCCCATTGTGTGTACATTTCCTGGAAAGTTTTATGCATTCCATTCTAAGCTCCTAGCCCTAGGTAAACAGACTCATAAGTGGAAATGTGCCATTTTCAGCACTAGAAGCAGCATCATAGTTCATTAACAAAATAATGCAGAAAATGGTTAGGTAAATGAATTTACAACATAAAATGTGTTGGTGATAAATTTGCACTAATGTAACATAAGTCAGGTTTATGGTTATTTTTTTTACCAGGAAGCACAATTGTAAACATTTGCAATAAACTACTGCCTCCCCCCCAAAAACCTAACTGACCACACAAACAAATATCATCATTTATGACCATAAAATCACGAAGAATTTGTACCGCATGGCTCTTTGTTTTGGTCGTTTTCAGAGTAAGACACGAGCTGCATTAAGTAGTTTCCCTGATTTCTCCATCTTAAATAACTGCCAGTTCTGGAACTTCATTCATCCTCGGAAGCTTTGCATAGAGCAAATCTGGGAAGTGGCAACTGACAGATAAAACTGTCGGATCATAGGTGTTCTGGTTTGAGACTGGACTGAACAAATTTCTAAACAACAAAGGTGGGTGAGGGACAGAACAGAGGCAATATGCTGCTTGCAGAGCCCAAGAGGAGTTTGAGACACGAGCAGAGAGCATCTTTTCAACAGCTGGAAGAAGCCTCCTCCAATTAGTAAACTCCAAAGTGAAGATAAGGGTGTCATCACTGACTGAGTCAATCCAAGAATTGCAGAGTAGATTCAGTGGGTCAAATCCAGCAAGCAGGAGAGATGGTAGCCATTCCTTATATTTTGTCTATGCTTTAATTGCGTGATTTATAGATTCAGAAATATGGTTCCACAATGCCAGTAGACAACCTTTCTTCAAAAAGCAGCAAAATACTGAAAATTTCTCATACTTTAGGCAGTATGCCAAATGAAGTTCATTTAGTTGGGCTCCATATTTCAAAAGTATATTCACAATTCCAAAAACAGTCCTTTTGGAAAGCCATACACATGGGAGAACTAAATGCAAAGATGTGGCACATCTAGAAATCTTGTCTGTAGTCATGCTGGAATAACATTTCTAGGCACTCTTCATGCCCTCCCAACACTGCAGAGTAAACGGGGCTCACTTTGTCTGGCCCATGTCACAAACCCAGTTGGTAAGTGGTATTAACAAGTCCATTAATGGTCCAATATGGACCATTCATGCAACTGCATGAATAGGTAACTGCCAGTAGGCCTCCTTACAGTAAAGATCAGGATCTGGCCCACTGAACAGCAAAAGCTCTACACATTCTGTGTGGCCCTCCTGAGCAGCAATGAATGAGGGAGAAACTTCATCCAATGTTTGACAGTTGACTTTTGCACCCGATGAAATAAGTATGTTTAAGCTTTCCAGCTTGCCATGCCAAGCAGCCACAAATAAAAGTGTGATTCCAAAGTCATCCTGGCATTCCTTGTTTGCTCCTTTCTTAAAAAAGCAATTTTATGATCTCAGCATTTCCTGAAAAGTAGCCTGATGCAAAGCGTTGCATCCACACCCAGAATGGGGACCCATTAACATTTGCTCCATGTCGAAGCAACAGCTTTAATGTATCTATCTGTCCCTTTTCAACAGCTAAAAACAGTGGTGTGGTTTTCTCTGAAGTAGTGGCATTAGCATCTGCCCCAGGTTCTAAAAGAGTGTACGGTCTTCCAATGTCCTTGACTTGCAGCAAGATGTAATGCACAGAAGCCCTGAACCGTCTTTACCTTAATGTAGTTTTCAGATAAATCTGCATGAATTAACATCTGTAAACATTCTACAGAGTTGTGATAAGCTGCTTAGTAAATCTGCATCCATCCCCTGTTATCAGCGACATCAACATTACGTCCCTTTTTGAGCAGTTTTCTTAAGACTTTAACATTGCCTTCCCTGGCAACAAGTCCAACCGTGGAGCATGTGTCAGAGTAAGCCTCTGTAAAATAGAGGCTCTCAGTGCCGCCACTTCTGCACAGAAAGGCCTGGTCCGAGGCGGGGTCTTCTAAAGTCTGCTCCCAGAGGCCGCTCGAATCATGAATGTTCTTAATGGCATTTAGAATGGTGAATTCTTTCCAGAAGGTTTTCAATTTATTTTTCCCAGATCCATCAAAGGAATCACTATCTGTGGCAGCTATTGCCTTACAAAAATGTCTTTCTTAAAAAGAGTTGAAAGTCAAAATTACTCCTTGATTTATCTTGGTTTTCAGTATGTCTTCGTCACTAAGCGTATCATTTCTAGCTTTTGACTTAAAGAGACAAAAGTAAATAAAGAGAGACATGTAACTCTTGGCACTTAGAGGTCATTGTAGGATTATTAATTGACCTAATTTCAATATTGTCGAGTCTTAAGGAATAGGAATGCCTGAAGAAAGGGAAAGAGATGGGCAAACAGCTGGTGAGGGGAGCAGTCAGAACACACATATTTGTCTATTAAGTTCACCATCTTATATGGTATGGTTTATAGTGCCCCAAAACAATTACAATAGTGACATCAAAGATCACTGGTCACAGATGAGCATAACTAAAATGTGACACATAGACATGAAGTAAGCAAATGCTGTTGGAAAAATGTTACTTATAGACTTGCTTGATGCAAGGTTGCCACAAACTTTGAATTTGTAAAAAACACAGTACCTGCAATGTGCAGTAAAGCAAAGTGCAATAAAAGGAGGTATGCCTGTAGTTGCAGCAGATACAATATGATCCACAAAGCCTGAAATATTTACTGTCTGGCCAGGTGTAGAAAAAAATTTGCCAAACTGTGGTCTATAGCATTGGATACCATTTTAATTATTTTAACTAATATATGATAATTTAATATATCAAGTATTAAATATTTAATTCATAGTATCTGGTGGGTGGGTTTTTTTGTTGTTTTTTTTTAATAAATGTCATAGTAAATGCAAAGACATTGACTAGTAATCAGGAAACCTGAGTTCTAGTTGGGTCTGATTACTAACCAATTTTATAACTTTAGATCAAATAATTTAGTCCTTGTGGTTGCCAGTTTCCTTTAGGGAATTAATCTAGGATCAGTTTTTCCCTATCATTGGTTAGTGGATTTTCAAGGCAAATTTTTACAGTATATTTCCTCCATTACTCAGCCCTCTTTCTATTCCTTTTTTACCCCTCCTTTTCTCATTCACTCCTAAAGTCCCTGGTGTGGAATTTGATAGTTTACTAGACAGCATTATAACTTGGGCTCAGAATCACTGGGGACCTAGGATTCCTTTAAGAGTTCATATTTTGTGCTTTATGTTCTAAGATGAAGTCCTGCTACTGTTGGTTGTGGGCTCTCAATTATGATCCCTACAGTTACTTCATTATTTGTAACAGAAATTACTTTAATGTGACAATTATTATATTAGTTAGGAACGGGAAATTAACATTCTTAAATTTTTGTATTTATAGATGATCCTATATTATTGGAAGAGTCTGCCCAGACAATGAAAGAAAGAATTGTGATTTCCAGATCGACAAGCCCAACCTTCAACAAACAGACAAAGAGAGTTAATTGGTCTAGCTTTAATTCTTTGGGACATGATATTACTGATGAAATTCTGACTGCAGCACCTAAATCCAGGTCCCCAGAGGACTGTGCCTCTAGCGCTTCCCCTTTTGAAACAGAAAAAGGATGCAAAACAGTCTTACCACTCACTGATAAATGTGAGTCCTCATCTCTGACGGTAGACACATCATTGAGGGCAGTTCAACCATGCCCTCAGTCAGAAATCGTTATTTCACCAATAAAGATTGATGCTACTCTTCTTAAAGAAAATTATTCCAAACAGCTGTTCTATGAAGAAACCCTGGGTCCAGACATTGAATTGTCTCTAGTTGGTAAAGAAGCTAAACTTTCTACTTCAAATAGAGCTTCTGACACAGAAGCAGAGGATGAATCTATCTATTTTACACCTGAACTTTATGATCCTGAAGATACAAATGAAGAAAAGAACGAACACGTTGAAAGTGATAGAGATAATAGATTGGCTAATAATTCAAAATGCATTTTAGCTGAAGACCTTTTTGAAATTAGAACTGAGAAAGGAGTCCCAAGAAATAAAAGCTGAGGATTGCACAAAGTTGAATAGACTCATGAATATTAAAGTAAAATTGATGACAATGGTAGTAATATAAAAACAACTCATATAAATGAATTAGACCTGGGAAAAACTCGTGAAACAGATACAAAAGAATATTAAACAGTCTCCTTCCAACAAATAAAGGTGTATTCCCTGGTGTTAGGTAATAATACTTAACTGTCACACACCAAAAATGTGTTGTCATGCTTGTATTAAACTCTCTTATAAATGACAATTTCTACACTGGATACGTGGTATAGCTTTTTTTTTTTTAATGTATTTTTCACTTTAACTCATTGTTATTACAGTGTTTTAAAAGTCTATTTTACATTCAGAATGTTTTATTATTTTCAAGTTTTGATAAAGAGATTCATACAAAATATTTTCCTCCAAGAAGTCTTCCTTAGCTGAATACAATTTAAAAATTAACCAATGTGAAAGATACATAGTTTCCGAGGGTACTTCATATGTCGCATAAATATTTTTTTTATTTTTTTTTACATTTGTTTATTTTTGAGAGACAGCGTGTGAGCAGGGGAGGGGCAGAGAGAGAGAGGGAGACAGAATCAGAAGCAGGCTCCAGGCTCCAAGCTGTCAGCACAGAGCCAGATGTGGGGCTTGAACCCATGAACCGTGAGATCATGACCTGAGCCAAAGTCAGATGCTCAACCGACTGAGCCACCCAGGCGCCCCTGTCGCATAAATATTTGTATTTTGTAGTCCTGTTTTTATACATAAAACATCTGTTTAATACATGAAAATGAATAGCAGTCTAATCCAGTCATATCTCAGTCTTGTTTCACTTACGTATTTACTTCAAATCAATATATTATTTTAGAAATCAGAGTTTTCTTGAAAAGTTTATTCCTGTATTAAACTGCCTACTTAGAGGGAATTAAGAATTAAGGAAGAAAACTGCATGTATTTTTAATTGATGTTGCTTTACATTTTTTCATTTGATAAAACACAATCAAGCACTGAATATTTAGCAAATTATATAAAGTTACAAAATGCCAAAGGAATGACTCCAAATTTTTAATTCTAATTACTTAGCTTTATCATTGTAGAAAAAAAGTGAAATGTTCTAGCATGAAGGTTGTAATTATGAAACTGTTAAGATAGAAAACTCCATATATAAATTTTATAAGTAAACCCAAACATGTAACTGCAGCTGAAAAATGTTTTCTTATAGCTCACTAAATTTTTCTGTAAATTTTGACTCTGTTTATGTATTTGTGAATGAAGCTATACTTCTGATCAAAAATGGTTATAAAAGATGCATTTCTCTGTCATCATTCCAAAAATACATTCACTCCTCTTTTTCTAAGAAACATGTCTTATTCAATGGACATTTAGGCTTCATGTGAGCGATTTGAATTGAAAAATCTTACAAGTTGTTCAAGTTGTGGATGTGGTTTATTTTCAAGTCAAAATTTCCAGGAATCCAGTATTTTATTTTATTTTTTATTATTTTTTTTTAAGTTATATCTAAGTTAGCGTATAGTGCAACAATGATTTCAGGAGTAGATTCCTTAATACCCCTTACCCATTTAGCCCATCCCCACTCCCACAACCCCTCCAGTAACCCTGTTTGTTCTCCATATTTAAGAGTCTCTTATGTTTTTGGCCCCTTCCCTGTTTTTGTATTATTTTTGCTTCCCTTCCCATATGTTCATCTGTTTTGTATCTTCAAGTCCTCATATGAGTGAAGTCATATGTTTGTCTTTCTCTGACTAATTTCACTTAGCATAATACCCTCTAGTTCCATCCACATAGTTGCAAATGGCAAGATTTCATTCTTTTTCATTGCCAAGTAATACTCCATTGTGTATATATACCACATCTCTTTATCCATTCATCCACCGATGGACATTTGGGCCCTCTCCATACTTTGGCTATTGTCGATAGTGCTGCTATAAACATTAGGGTGAATGTGCCCCTTTGAAACAGCATGCCTGTATCCCTTGGATAAATACCTGGTAGTTCAATTGCTGGCTCATAGGGTAGTTCTACTTTTAATTTTTTGAGGACCTCCCATACTGTTTTCCAGAGTGGCTGCACCAGTTTGCATTCCCACCAGCAATGCAAAAGAGATTCTCTTTCTCTGCATCCTCGCCAACATCTGTTGTTGCCTGAGTTGTTAATGTTAGCCATTCTGACAGGTGTGAGGTGGTATCTCATTGTGGTTTTGATTTGTATTTCCCCGATGATGAGTGATGTGGAGCATTTTTTCATGTGTTGGTTGGCCATCTGGATGTCTTTGGAGAAGTGTCTATTCATGTCTTTTGCCCATTTCTTCACTGGATTATTTGTATTTTGGGTGTTGAGTTTGATAAGTTCTTTATAGATTTTGGATAGTAATCCTTTATCTGATATGCCTTTTGCAAATATCTTCTCCCATTGCATTGGTTGCCTTTTCGTTTTGCTGATTGTTTCCTTCTCTGTGCAGAAGCTTTTTATTTTGATGAGCCTAAATGATGATAGTTCATTTTTGCTTTTGTTTCCCTTGCCTCTGGTGACGTGTTGAGTAAGAAGTTGCTGTGGCCAAAGTCAAAGTTGCAGGCCAAGTTGCCTGCTTTCTCCTCAAGGATTTTGATGGCTTCCATCTTACTTACATTTAGGTCTTTCATCCATTTTGAGTTTATTTTTGTGTATGGTTTAAGAAAGTGGTCCAGGTTCATTTTTTGCATGTTGCTGTCCAGTTTTCCCAGCACAACTTGCTGAAGAGACTGTCTTTATTCTATTAGATACTCTTTCCTGCTTTGTCAAAGATTAGTTGGCCATACATTTGTGGGTCCATTTCTGGGTTCTCTATTCTGTTCCATTGATTTGAATGTCTGTTCTTGTGCCAGTACCATACTGTCTTGAGGATGTACAGCTTTGTAATACAGCTTGAAGTCGAGGAATCCAGTATTTTATATATTCATTTGGATAAATGAATTATTATACGTCTATATGTTTACTTTTATTTTGAAGGTGTTTAGGTTGAATACAGCTTGTTTCTATAGCACTGGATAGTACAACTATAAGCATAGTTCAAAGAAATTTAAAATGATAACTTACCAGTTAAAGAATTCATCTATAGATTAGGGTATATTTGATCCCTAGTATTGTATATTTTTCTTAGTTGATGAGTGAGTAATAAGTTACAAGCACTAGAATAAAAGAAAATTTCTAATTTTGCAAGAGTGAAACCATTTAGCCTCTCAGATGAGGGTAATCCACAGATAAGGGTAGTGGGGTAGTAGAAAGAAAAGCAAGTGGAAGACAAGAGACTTGTGTTCTGTTCCTGGCTCTGCCACTAATTTGCTAAGTCTTGTTGGCAATCACCATGCCTTTTGGGAAATTAGTTTCATCTGTGAAATGTGGGATTTAGTATATAAAATCATGTAAATCCCTTTCAGCTTTAAAAATACATAATTTAAAGATGTTAATATTTTATTCTGAGTCAATTTTCATTTGCTTTTGTTCCAGAATGCTTAAAATAAGGCAAACCAGGGGTGCGTGGATGGCTCAGTCAGTTAAGCATCTGACTTTAGCTCACGTCTTGATCTCACAATTTGTGGGTTCTAGCCCCACGTCGGGCTCTGTGCTGACAGCTCAGAGCCTGGAGCCTGATTCAGATTCTGTGTCTCCCTCTCTGTCTGCCCCTCCCCTGCCCGTGCTCTGTCTCTCAAAAATGAACAAAAGTGTTTTTAATAAAAATTAAAAAATTAGCAGGGGCTCCTGGGTGGTTCAGTCAGTTAAGCATCTGACCTCTGGTTTCGGCTCAAGTCATGATCTCACCTTTGGTGTGTTCGAGCCCCACATTGGGTTCTGTACTAATGGCATGGAGCCTGCTTGGGATTCTGTCTCCCTCTCTCTCTGCCCCACCGCTGCTCGCTCGCTCTCTCTCTCTCTCTCTCTCAAAAATAAATAGACATTAAAAATTTTTTTTAATAAAAAACCATTTTTTAGAAACAGTGAAATAACACTCATATATCTTAAGGAATAATTGTACAAGTATACATAGTAACTTGAGAAGCAAGATATTTTTTTTTTAATTTATTTATTTTGAAAGAAAGCACAAGTGAGCAGAGGAGGGACAGAGAGAGGGACTGAGAGAATCCCAAGCAAGCTCTGCATGGTCAGCTAGAGCCCAATGCAGGGCTTGAACTCACAGACTCACAAACCATGAGCTCATGACCTAAGCCAAAGTCAAAGGCTTAACTGACAGCCACCCAGGTGCCCCAATATTTATTTTTAACAATGCTATAATAAAAACATTTTTGACCCTTAATATTGCCTTTAGAAGAACTGGCAAATTACAGGAGAAAAATTAAGCACAATGTTTTTTAGTCATACCTTGGTGTATTATCCAACCTTATCTCAAATTTATTCTCTCCAAAATCTAATTCTTTCTGAGGCTAAAAATTTCCACTATCTGAGAACATATGTAGAGCTGTGCCACTAGTATTTAGTAATTCCAAAAGATATTTTTAAAATTTTGTGCAATGGTACCATTAGTGAAACAGGTATATAGTCTCCGTAGATAGCAACTTTGACCAGGATAATATTGCAAGAATTAAAGTACCAGCCTTTATAATAGATTAGGTTGTAGAACATTTTAATTAGTAATAATGTGCTTTTAAAAGAGATGTTTTAGAGAGTTAAATAAGTTAAAATGTGAAAGCATTTAAAAGAATATCTGGCACATGTCAAACCCTCAAATATTAGCTAGTAAATCAATCATATATTTGAAGTACACCCTTGCTTTATATGAAGCCTTCCCTTTTATGATAATAGATGACAGATAGATACATACGGAGATAAACTGACAATAAAGAATTGTTATATAATAGTAGGAAGGAAAAATTATTTGGCTAGTTATTTTTTAAGGCTTTGGAGATACATAAGTTAGAAATTGTTTATCAGGTAATTTGCCTTACCCATTCAATGGATATATGAAATAATTATACTGAATTTATTTAAGGGCTGAAATTATATAAAGCATACTGGCCATGAATCAGGAAAACTGCCAGTTGGAAAGGGCTTTATTGATGGAGAAAGGTATAATGTAAAGAGTAGATGTTTCATGATTTTCCTTTTGAAATTTGGATAAGTCATTTAAAACTTTTTGTAATTGTATTGGAAATTAATGACAGTTCATACAATGCTGCTACTATGCACTTAGTTATTACATGGTTTTTAATTTGCTAGTGTATCTAAATTCTCATAAGGCTTTGTTTTTTGTTTTTTTCTTCATCAA